AACAACAACAGTAATAGTAACAATACCCACAGTATTAATATTAACATCAACAACAATAACAGTAACAACCATAACAGTAATAGTAACAACATCCACTGAATTAATAACAACAACAACAGTAATAGTAACATCAACAACAACAATAAGAGTAATAGTAACAGCATCAACAACAATGACAGTAACAACATCCACGGTATTGATATCAACATCAACAGCAATAACAGTAATAGTAATAACAACAGTAACAGTAACAACATCAACAGTAACAACAACATCAACAGTAATAGCAACACCATCAACAACAACAACAGTAATAGCAACACCATCAACAACAACAACAGTAATAGCAACACCATCAACAACAATAACAGTAATAGCAACACCATCAACAACAATAACAGTAATAGTAACAACAATAACAGTAACAACAACCATAACAGTAATAGTAACAACATCCAGTGTATTAATGACAACAACAACAACAGTAATAGTAACATCAATAACAACAATAACAGTAATAGTAACAACATCAACAACAACAATGACAGTAACAACATCCACGGTATTAATATCAACATCAACAATAACAGTAACAGTAATAACAATAACAACAATAACAGTAATAGTAACAACAATAACAACAATAACAGTAATAGTAACAATAACAACAATAACAACAACATCAACAACAGTAATAGTAACTTCAATAACAATCACATTAGTAGTAAAAACAACATCAACTATAACAGTAGTAACAACAATAACAGTAACAGGAACACCATCAACAACAACACCAACAACATCAACAACAATAACAGTAATAGTAACATCAATAACAACAACAATAACAACAATAAGAACAACAACATCAAGAATAACAGTAACAGTAACAACATCAATAACAGTAATAGTAACAACAGTAACAACAATAACAGTAATAGTAACAACAATAACAGTAACAACAACCATAACAGCAATAGTAACAACATCCACTGTATTAATAACAACAACAACAATAACAGTAATAGTAACAACAGCATCAACAACAACAGTAATAGTAACACCATCAACAACAACAATAACAGTAATAGTAACAACATCCACTGTATTAATAACAACAACAATAATAATAACAGTAATAGTAACAACAATAACAACAATAACAGTAATAGTAACAACAATAACAACAATAATCACAGTAACAACAGTAATAGTAACTTCCATAACAATTATATTAATAGTAAAAACAACATCAACTATAACAGTAGTAACAACAACAGTAATAGTAACAACATCAACAACAACAACATTAATAGTAACATCAACAACAACAGTAATACTAACAAAATCAACAACAACGACAGTAACAACATCCACTGTATTGATATCAACATCAACAACAATAACAGTAATAGTAATAACAACAGTAACAGTAATAATAACAATAACAATAACAGTAACAACAACATCAACAACAGTAACAGTAATAGTAACAACATCGACAGTAACAACAACAACAGTAATAGTAACATCAATAACAACAACAGTAATAGTAACAACAACAATAACAACAATAACAGTAACAACAATAACAGTAATAGTCACAACATCAACAACAGTAACAGTAACAACATCCACTGTAATAATAACTATAACAACATCATCAACAATAACAATAACAACAACAATAACAGTAATAGTCACATCAATAACAATACGACATCAACAATAACAGTAACAGTAACAACATCAATAACAGTAATAGTAACAACAACACTAACAACCATAACAGTAATAGTAACAACATCCACTGTATTAATAATAACAACAACAACAGTAATAACATCAACAACAACAATAAGAGTAATAGTAACAGCATCAACAACAATGACAGTAATAGTCACATCAATAACAATAAGAGTAATACTAACAACAACATCAATAACAAGAGTAACAACATCAACAATAGTAATAGTAACAACATCCACTGTAATAATAACAATCACCAACATCAACAACAAGAACAGTAATAGTCACATCAATAACAATAACAACAACATCAACAATAACAGTAACAGTAACATCAATAACAGTAATAGTAACAACGTGAACAAAAATAACAGTAATAGTAACATCAATAACAGTAACAACAACCATAACAGTAATAGTAACAACATCCACTGTATTAATAACAACAACAACAAC